AGGTAGTCACCAGTACTGTATCACGTTGAAGCGACAACATCGTCCGATGGTAATCTGTTTCAGTCACCAGTTTACACCTCCTTCCTCCTCCGTTTACAGCCCCTCACCTCCCCGGCTCTCTCTTTCTGTGTCTCCTGGGGTGCAATTACCATTTCACGCACCGAGCGTAATTTACTCAACCGCATCATTGGTTGTCGGATGTACCTCCATTTCACTCGCCACTATATCTCGAAGGCAGTGGCGTGGCGTAAATTACGATATATCGATTGTTATGCCATTTAAACCTATGGAAAAAGATCGATTATCAGGGTGTTCGCAGCGAACACCTTAGTAATCGATTCTTTACCATAGCTTCAAATGGCGAGATATCGATAATCGATTATTCACGCCACGCCACTGCTCGAAGGAGACCTCCGTCAAAATAATGCTTGATTTTACTTTTTATGGATACATGTGGGCAATGCAGTTCCTCATGAACTCAAGAATCGATGTTTCAAGTTAGTCTAGTAGAAGCGACTCCTGAGCTAAAATAAGAAAAACGAAGGGAAACGCCCACGGACTGCTTCGCAGTCCAACCCCCGGAAATAGGGGTGTTTACCATTATGAAAATAATGGTAATAACGGTACAATAATAATGGTAAATAATGGAAATGGTAATGGTACACGCATCGGGTGTTAAGCGTTATTCTTATGATTTTATACGATTTTTATGTGATAGAGATGATACGCCTCGGCACAGGTTGCTTTACTCAATAGGACAATACACAAGCTCTGGACTAGAAAAATGTTACGTACTTTCTCTTCAAAATGACAGGGAGAAAACGATTCTGAGAACGGAGGGTTCCGAAATGAATTAACAAGTGTTTTGAACACAGATGAAATGGAATTTAAAGTGTGCTAGTGATGTCAGTAGAATTGCTTTTTAATGGGTGTCAATAAATTGCGAACTTTCAAAGGGCACTTATTTGAGTTGTAGGAGTTTATTTCTCAGAATTTTCGTTTTTTAACGTAATATAAGACCAGATCATGTATTTAAATTAAATACTGTTTTCTCTCGCCGCCTGTTCTCTCTCGCGTGCTTCCGTGAAAGCACGTATTAGAGAATCTTTGGCTATCAGTACTTGAAGCTCCAGCCGGAGGATGAACATTCTAGCTAGGCTGTTTCTAGTTTGGCTTGCCTGATCGGTCTTATGTCTGGAGCGGTGATCACTTCGAGATAATGGTAATAGTGAACGAGTATCATGAAGGGGCGTTCCCATATTTTTGAGTTTCTCACCGCTGCTTTGGAAGGCAGCCAAAAGAATCCAAAAGTCGTTGTCTTCGAGAGCCTCCGCGGGGACGTCTTTGGCCCCCCAGGTCAGTCTCGTTTCCAAACTTTCTGTTTCGTTAGCCAGCAGCTCCATGGTGCCAATGACCACCAATGGCTAAAACATAGTACAACACAGACAAGAACATCAGATGTTAATATAATGGACCGCTAGACAGAGTAAGGAATTAAGGTGATTCGATGGACGCCATATTTTGCGTCAGAACGGCATGCGATATATCGCATCAATTGGTTCCATTTTTTCAGCTACTTGTCATCTTTCTCAAATTTCGAAATCGCAATTCTGTTGTCAAGAGACTAAAGCAGTCACTTACCAATTTTAACAAAGAAATTCAACGTAATAAAGGCGTGGTTTTTTTTTAGAGAGAAAATAGGTATCGCATTCGAGTGCAATTTCGATATCAGTATCGAATGCGATGTTTTCTCTCTAAAAAAACCACGCCTTTATTTCGTTGAATTTCTTTGTTAAAATTGGTTAGTGAGTCTCCTGACAACAAAATTGCGATCTCAAAATTCGAGAAAAATGACGAGTAGCTGAATAAATGGAACCAATTGATGCGATATATCGCATGCCGTTCTGACACAAAATATGGCGTCCATCGAATCACCTTAAGCGCCATAGTAATTGGAATGCCGTTTGCAATTAGGAACTACGATTTCTGGCTCATCTGTAAAAACACGTACGTGCGTAGGGGAAGTAATAGTGCATATGCGTTGTTTCTTTACTAAGCCAGAGATAGTAGCTCCTGACATTGAAAAATGCCGTCCTGTTCGTCGTTTCCCAAACGGAGGAATGGAGGACCCCCCGTCCGAAGGTTGCAAAATTGACTCAAACAATGTAATTTTTTCCGATAGTATATTCCTGCAATTTTTGTCCAAAATTTTATAGATTTTCGGAAGCAGACAGAAGAAAAAGTAATATATATTCAATAAGATAATATACCAAAATGTCAGGAAAAATCACGAAAGTTTCAGAGTAAAATTGTCGGGTCGTTTTTATTTGCCTTCCAGAATGGGTTTGACGTTTCCAACAACTAATTTTACCAGGAAACCATTTAAAATGTTGTCTTTTTCGCCATTTGCAATTCTTTCAACTATTAAGGAATCTAACAAAAATGCTTCAAGGAAATTGGAGAAGTCAGGGAAATTCATTTTCTAAATTCGGCGGCAACCCTGCAGTTACCACGGCAGAATAGTGTAGTCAGTGGCGATTCTTGCAAGTTGGCAACACTGTTTTTTCTCCATTTAAATATATGTTAACCAATCGATTTTAGACGAGGCAGCCTGTCTCACCTAGAATCGATGTATTCAATTGATTTAAATTGAGTATAACCCGTTGCCAAGGCCAACTAGCTGGAATCGCCAGTAATGATAGTCCTTTTTTGCAAAGTGAGTCCAATACAGGGTTATTCAAAAGTCACGCACCACTGGCCATAACTTCAGTTCTAATTATGATATCGACTTGCGGTTTAAGACGTTTTTCCTCGTATTGAGGGGGGATATTTTTTGATCCAGTTTTTGATCCCCTCGAGGGGAGGGGGTGGGGAGCAACTCAAAAATTTCAAATGGCCACCCCCCTCATGGCCAGTGGTGCGTAACTTTTGAGTAACCCTGTATCAGAAAACCACTCTGCCGTGCTTAGGAAAAACGCCGTATGAGCCATCAGGCGTTGCCAAATGTTCCTCAATAAAACACGAAATCCTTGGTAAACTTATGAATATTTTCCTTCCAATTTTTCAGGAAATTTTGCTAGTATTTTGATCTGAAGTTCCTGAAAATTTCAAGGAAAAATAATCATGACTTTCCTCGAAAATAAACCTTTTATCTAAGGAAATTTGGCAACTCTCGAATGTTCATTCGACGTTCCTCCTTAGCACGGCAGCACTGCCGTAAGTGCAAAACAGAAGTTTTGAGAAAATGCGCTTATTGTCAGAAGCGTCTGAACTGCAAGAAGCTTTTACCGCAAGAAGCTTCCGTTCTTCGTAAAATTGCCACCAATCGTGGGAAAGACTCTTAGAAATCGTTTGAATGATAAAAACTCGACCGATCTCATTTCAATTATACATAAAGAGGGTATTTTTCATTTTCCTGCTGGATTATTGTTAGGAAAGACAGCCGTAAGTGCTATCTTCTGCGTGCTTTCGTGGTTGCGTTTTGGACACACAACAAACACATCTTCAGGTTACAAATCAGCAGAAAAGGGCTGCATCATACTTGAAAGAAGTGTTTTCATTTGCTCTCTGGAGGAAAAATTTCACTCACTGCTGTTTTGTCTGAAACTACGTCATTTTCTGTGCACTTGCAGCTTTCTGATATGTCTCTTTTTCATAAAAATAAGATGAATTTTGCATTTTAGCTATTTCAGTGATTTCATCTGTAAGGGATTAGACGAATTTTGAAGGAAACTCGATTTCGTAAAGATAGTTACTACTCTGTCCGCTATCACGGCTGACCAGTCCTTACATCATTCGGATACTGTAGCTTTTCAAGATCGTCACTGAGAAGATATCGAACATCCTCCATCAATTTGCGCGTGTCGGTCATCATTGTGTTGAAAGCTTTCAATGTCCTCATGAATGGCACCATGCTCTCGGATTCATTGTATTTCGCCGTCACCACCTGCAATGCTTCGCCTCTTACTTTCTCCGCATCCTTGCACTCATTCGTCAGCTGCTCCCAACTTTTCTTAGAAACGGGACTTTCCTGTGAAGCAAAAATTTCAAACCCCAAAATTACCCCCGGCTCCAGAACTTGACAACCGGGCGAAAAAAAACGAAGTAATAAAGAAAGTAAGTAAGAAGTAAAAAGTAGGAAAGTAGTAGAAAGTAATTTTAAATTAAATTTGTCAATTTAAGTCATTAAACGTTAACTTTTCGAGTTAAAAAAATTAATAAAGTTATCATAAAATTGATAAAGATTTACTTGAGAGATAACATTAAGTTGTCAAGTTAAAATTAGAACTTATTGGTTTGGTTTTTATGGTCAAAAACTGAACTGAAATATAATCAACCTTACAGGAAGAATGACTCTGAAAAGATCTCTATCTTAAACAGTTGAAATTATTTATTAAATCATTCTGCAAGGGTTTCATAAAGATTTGTATTGAGGGGAAGAAATTTTGTTCAATTCCAAAGAGTACTTTACAATTAAAGAAATCTTACCTTTGTCACCTCAAAGTTACATTTCTTTAAACTTAAATTACAAAATTCGTTCCGAATAAAAGCCTTTTTTCAAATCTGCCTCTGTAGATGTGACTGTTTTGCTTCATACTATCCACCACTAAACAAGGTCCGAACACATGCATCATGATATGTATATTTTCTCATCAAAATTGCACGTAGAACACGATTTATACAACGAATATTACTGAAAGTAACTCCCTTCGGCATTGGCAGACGTTCTTCTGTGCATCAATTGAACTGCATTTTGCAATATTGAACTATAAATTCTAGCCCGGTTTAAAAACAACGTATGTGCCATTAGTTTCCCTATGCACATAAGTGTTTTTCCAGAAGAGCCAGAATTTATAGTTCCAAATTGCAAAATTCAGTCCAATTGAACGTATTCATACCCAAAGGAACTACCTATGTCTCGCGCAAACCCTATGCACATAGTTCCTTTCAGCATGAATTCGTCCAATTTGAACTTCCTGCTCATTAAAATAACAAAGATCGGCTTGAGTTAAATCACACTAATCGGTACCATCGAACGCAGTTCTTGCTGTATAAAAATATGGAAACCTCAGTATCGGAGCTTCGGCTTAACCATTGTGCATTCTATAAATTTCGTACAACGCAGGGCGAGGAAGAATCTTAGCGTGATTGAGAAGCCTGCCAAAACCGTCATAATGCACGAATTAATTAAAGCAGACCCTCTTGCTCTTATTGCCAGCGGGTACTTTAAATATTTCCTAATCAATGATTTTTTTTTTTTTTTTTTTAAATATATGGTTTATAGGAGTTTTATCTGATAGATATTGCGACCTTGGAAGGGAGCTGAGAAATTTGGAGAGTAATTCTACTTATAATAGGCATAAGATCGTTGAAGCGTCATGGTAGGTCTAGGGATTTGTGTTAGAATTCTGTAGGAAATAGAGGATCAGTAGGATAGATAGAACGATGAGGTGAATTTTTTTTTTTCTTTTTTTTTTCTTTTTTTTTTATGATGGTCAGTTGGAGGCCTGGCTAAGTTCACAATGATACATTAAAACACTAATATCTTGGTTGGGAGTTTATTTCAGAAATTTACGTCGTGCAAATCGCGTTTCACGTGAAATTGTGTAGCGACGCTACGTGATTGGTTGACTACTTTCATTCATGACGGCAACGTCGTTTCGCACATCCAACGCCATTGTTAAAGGAGACAAAAAGAATCACTACGATTTCGAGTTTGCGATGGATACACTCTTTTCAGTAACTTATCGACACCGTTGTCGATGTGAAAACAATCGGGCGAAGGGTATCATAACAAACGACTTTAATTCGAATCGTATCAATTTTAATACTACCTTACGCTAACTTCAAAAATTTCGACAAGATACGTTACCCCAGCCACGAATGGGAGGAGAAGCAACACAACGGAGATGAACAGCCTGAAAATCATTTTGAATGAACGCTACCAGCACTGAATAGCATCTGAAGTGGAATTTTGTGCGATCTGCCTCGAAAGTCAGTATCTAATCTTATCACCATGATTCACCAGCTCACACAGTTTTAGGGTCGAGCAGACTTTAACCCCCACAGCAAAAATGGTCGAATGACTTTTTTTCTCAATTAACAAATGTTCTCTTTATTTCCTATAGCCTTCTTTTATCGGGCATATTTAACTTTATGATGGAATAATAAAGTTCCGTCAATGGCCGTATGGGCAACGATCACATGGAAAGTCATGAGGTGAAAACAAAGGTGATCGAGATACATAGGTATATAATCATATAATTTTTTTAATTTGATAGAAATGTTCTGTGGTGAAAAATGTTTTCAGCTATTTTTATTATTATTTTTATTCATTATTGTCTAAATTCTTTATATGTCTTGGAAGTCCCTCTCTATCAGGCATCTTTGTTTCGTGTAGTATGTAGACTTTGTACCTTTGTACCTCGATCTCTTTTTTCTTGAAAAGTAGGAGTTAGAACATATCAAGAAAAAGGAGATCTGGGTAGAGAGGTATAAATAAATATTATACTATACGAATTTTTTTTTTTTTAATTGTAAGATATTTTTCATTTCAGTTCACTTTATTTTTTCCTTGTCTTTAAGTAAAAGAAACTTAAATTTGTCACCGATGAACAAGTAAATGAAAACTAATGTGAATTTAAAAAAAAAAATCTTTTATTCGGAATAATTTTCTTTAATAGAAAAGCAAAATTCCTCATCTTTAGAAAGTACATTTCACAGCACCCTGACAACAAAAGTTGAAAAAACAACAGAACAACGCAAGATTTTCAGGAAACGCATAGGTACGTCAATTAATTGGTATGTCCATAATAAATTAAATAGTTTTCTGCGTGAGGGCATTTTCATACAATTTTAGAGAATGAATAGATGCACCCTGCAAATCAACTCCCCCCCCCCAAAAAAAAAAAAAAATCATGGCTCTCCTTGAAAATTTCCCCTCACGGGCTGAGGTCCTTTTCTTAAGGTTGGTCTTAAATAGGCGTCAGAAACAAGATTGTGGGCACGGTGTGTTATGCAGATTGGCTTCGTAAATATACTCCGAACCGCACTCAACCAAGTTCACGATTTTGCGTGAATTGCAAACGATCCGCTTCTTCTACCTCCCCTCCTCCTTCCTCTCCTTCTTCCTTCTATTTCCCTACTCCCCGTGCCGCCACACAGTGGACCGAGTCAGTAGGAGGGGTCGGACAAAATTTGGAAACTTTAAACGCTTTTAACTCCTTTTAAACAAAACTTTGAGGTTCTTAAACAGGGTTTCATTGGTTTCCTCGCGAAATTGTTGACCTGTAGCACCCCTTGAAATGTAAAATGTGACGACATAAACATCGAAACCTGCAGTTTTAGCAGGGGCGTAGCTAGGAAATTTTTTTTTTTTTTTGGGGGGGGCATGGGACC